TTCGTTACCCGGCCAGCCAGAGTGAGTTCTTTGTTGCTTATCCTTACTATTCTGGCCATCTGAGCTTCAGTAACGAGCCAGCGTAGGCAGTTGTTGATGAATATCTGTAGTTTGTTGGAAATGCCTTTCGTAACACGCCAAGTCTCTGAGCCATACAGAAGCACTGACTTGATTGAATTGGTGTTGAAAATCCGGACCTTGTTCCACATGCTGAGTGCAGAAGATCTCCACACTGGTTTCAGGCTAATGAACGCCTGTCTTGCCGTCTTTCCGATCCTGGCTGCTTTGACGTCCTCGTCTGTGCCGTTGCCTGTAGTTGAAAAAGTGCTGCCTAGGTGGTGGGTGAAAGAGGCTACTTCCTTTGAGTTTCTCCCGTTGATGGTGATTGGAACTTGTTGTTGTCGGTTGGGTATCACAATGTGTATTAGTCATAACTATTTGTTGAGATCAAACAATTCGATGCAGTATAAAAACGAGGAACTATGAGCATATCAACAAATAGATAGGCACTATTTTTGTTGATATAGAAAACGTTAGTTACAGGATAATGAAGTTATTAGAGTATGGAAAGTATGCCTGTTTTCGCTTCACTCAAATGGAACGCATTCCACGCACTTCATTTACTTCAAACTACTCTTTGAAGATGTCAGACAGTAATATATTCGTTTCCTATATTGAAACAGTGTTATAATCGGTGAATGGAGATAAAATCGAATGGAATGGTAATCAGTCTAGTGTGTTAATTGTACAATGAAATCACTATTGACAGAACAATTACGAAATGAGGAGACAAAATCTACAGATAATGATTCATTTATATACATTTATTGGGGGCATGAATAATAATAGTAATCGCTTTATTCCAAACAATATGGAATTCTCAGTATTTAATTTTTCAACAAATTCACTCCCAGAACAATACTTTGAGACGAAATGGTTATTGCATCGGAATAATGTTAATAATAACAGTATTCAAGGGGATAATGTGAACTACCTAGCTGGCTCTGGATGGATATCTGGTCCATAATGAAGAATCAACAGAAATGCAAACGTAATTTTGATGGTGGCGGTTCATTCAGATAGTATAGAAATCTGCAACTCAAGATAGGCATCTGATGGATAGAAATATGATGTACTTTTTTGCACCGAAAAGTCTATTTCCATATAACGTAACATTTTTTCCCTGCTTTGTTACTGACTTGAGAAACGGAGAGTTGAAAATAGTTTAAAATGCGCAATAGTATATGATATGTTCGAAGGACACATTTTAAAGATTAAAACAAATTGAAAGGAGGGAATTAGATGAAAAATGTTCGGTAGATAAATTTCGTAGCCCAAAGTTCAAGCAAGCCACCATGAGTGTGTTTGTTTACTAAAGGTTACACAATAATTAGGTAGTGATGAGTTATATTCAGGTGGAATGAAAATCATGTAAATACTAAAACAAAATAGAGGATAACTAATGCGAAGTATTACTTCATGGTTGGAAATGACTACAGATTGTAGTATGAATAAAGAAAGGCGTAAAACTAATAGCATAAGAAAATGAATTAATGATGGATTGTGGCTAGCAGCGGGATCCAGGATGCGCATTTAGTCCTATCTGGGACTCGTCAGCTGGATGTGCCTGCCTCCCAGTGAGTGATGTTGTTCCTATTACGATTCGGACTCGGGAGCGACCGTTTCAAACACCAGGGCGTTATCGACTACACCAGTAGGTACATCCAGCTGATAAGTCCCAAATAGGACGAAATACGCATCCTGGATTCCACTGCTAGCCACGATCCATCATTAATATAATTAGAACGCAGGCAGTATCGAGGCATCCGCACGGGAGCCCATATACCAATGGAGACCGACCAATTCGGTCCAATCAACGACGGTATGATATAAAAATAATTATACTAAGAAAATGAATGTTTATCAATGTAATGATAATATAGAACGGATAGAAGTTCTTTATGAACTTTCCTACTACAAATGGGACATTTTAACCTCCCATCCCTTTCTTCTATATTGTCATTACTCTGATAAACATTCATTTCTTATGTATCCTTCCTTTATCGCTTATTTTTATGATAACTGCCTTCACTTTGATTACTTTCCGGTGTTATTTCACTTAATTGTCTTAATCTTTTTAGAAAACACTGATTTCATCTTGACCAACTTGTCTAATCTTGTTAAATAATACTGAATTGATTTACCACTTTCATCAATTTTTCCACCCCCTTCTGAGTTATATGCCTTCCATGAACCATTCTATATATTATGTAATCTACTTTCTCATCATTCATACTTCAATTGTTATCATAACCCTGAATGTTTATATCATCATCTGTTTTATTATCATTGTCATCATCATCAATACAGTGTTTAGCTTTCCTCACAGGATATAATTTTTCAAATATCATATATATATATATATACACGATTGTACAGCTTCAAAATAAATTCCAAGTTGTTATTCATCGTAGACTGACATCAGTTGGAAGAACACAGGAAACCTGGGAGCACTGGACACCTGTTCCGTCCTACTATGGGACTCCTCAGCAGTGCGCACCCACGACCTTGCCAGGAATCGAACCCGCGACCTTCAGGTTCCGTGGCCAGTACGTTATCATTGAGTCACTGAGTCAGAATCCAATCGTCCATATTTCCAACTTCTGTCAGTTCACGACATAGCGCGACCGCCATCCAATGTAATCGTTGAGTAACTGTCCTCATGACCATCAGGTTAGCCCCACTGGTCACGACTTCTCATTGGGACTTCGCGAACCACCTCTCGAAGCTAGTCACCAATGAGCACCAGTTCAATTGAATTTCGAGGAGGTTGTGCGGATTTAGAAATATTTCAAGTTGTTATTCCTCGTAGACTGACATCAGTTGGAGGGACAATGGAAACCTGGAGACATTGGACAGCTGTTTCGTCCTAGTTTGGGACTCCTCAGCAGTGCGCACCCATGGTCGTGGAGGAGTCCCAAACTAGGACGAAACAGCTCTTCAATGTCTCCAGGTTCCTATTGTTCCTCCAACTGATGTCAGTCTACAATGAATACTAACTTGAAATATTTCTAAATTTCCACAACCTCCTCGAAATTCAATCGAAAATAAATTCTCTGAATATCTTGTTACAGTGGGAATTAGTAAATTACTTTCTTATGTTATTAGTTTTTTTCCCCTTCTTTACTCATACCACTACCGGTAGTCATTTCCAACTGTCACATAACATTTCAAATTTGTCATTTCTCTACTTCGTTATTGTATTCACATGATTTTCACCCCAACTGAATATCAGTCATTATTATTATTATTATTATTATTATTATTATTATTATTATTATTATTATTATTATTATTAGTCCCTTGGGTTCCTAGTGGAACGTAGGGCTTCAGTAGCACGTCTCCAGTGACCTCTGTTCTCTGAGATCTTTTGAGCCTGGTTCCACGACAGCCCAGATCAGTCATCATTACACAATTATTATTTGACCTTTAGTAAACAAACACATATCCATACTTCAATAAATGTATATAAATGAATCATTATCTGTAGATTTTGTCTCCTTATTTTGTAATTATTCTGTCAATATTGATTTCATTGCTCAACAAACACACTAGACTGATTAGTATTCCACCATTCCATTCGATTTGATCTCTATTCACCCATTATAACACTGACTGTTTCAATATGGTTAAAATTGTACATTATGCCTTATTTTAGCTATTGTATTACACTTATTCTCATGAATTTATAACTGTAGAGCTTAAATAAGTTATATTGAAAACAATTGTTCGCTTAAATTTTTCTTTTCAAATCTTCAGCGATGAATTTTCTCGTACAATCCACTAACTTTCGTATCGTCAAATAATAATGAGCATAAGATAATCTGATAATATGCATAAGAACATACCCTGTTGTACTACGTATTTTGTAAATCTATACACGTAATGTTACTAAAGTCAGCATAAACTGATGAGAATCTCAGAAATTTACTGAGTCAACAAAACGAACTTCATCAGAACTCAATCTCACTGATATTTGAACGTTACTCTTCATAACTCAACGCCTAAAACCAATCTAATTGGTTGCAAGAAAAGGATGTTTACTGGATTTTCATTGAGTCGACACCACCCCTCCTTCTGCATGCAACAAGAATAATCCAACTTCTGTTCAAGGTGTTTAAGAATTTTTGATAAACATCAAGTAATACAGAACTCTAAGATCATAAAAAAAGCTTATGAACGTATGTGATATGATTATGGATGATAACTCAGGAGTGAAGTGTCTAACCGTAAGTGATATCCAGCAATGTCGCTTGATGAAGCTAAATGTCAAATTTCTTTAACGTGTTTGGTACTGTAGTAATCGAAAGAATCAATCAGTCTATGAATGGTTGTTTTTCAACACGAAATTACAAGTCTCCTCCTATACACTACACTGAATTCGTTTGAGAAGAAGATGATAGTTTAATTTATCGACTTTAAGGATAAGTCTATTGATTATAGCCGACTAACAGAGAATATTTTGTCTTCGGTCTTTGTTATTCACTACTTACACACAAACTTTATGGAAACTCATTAACTACTCTACAAAGCAAATGTGTTTTTCAAGTTGTTATTCGTCGTAAACTGACATCAGTTGAAGGAACAAAGGAAACCTGGGGGAACTGGACAGCTGTTTCATCCCAGTACGGGACTCCACAGCAGTGCGCACCCACGACCCCGCCAGGGATCGAACCGGTGGTTGTGAGGACAGTTACTCAACGATGACATTGAGTGGCGGTTGTGCTATATCGTGAGCTAACAGATGTTGGAAATATGGACCATTGGATTCTGACTCAGTGACTCAATGATAACGTACTGGCCACGGAACCTGAAGGTCGCGGGTTCGATCGTTGGCGGGGTCGTGGGTGCGCACTGCTGAGGAGCCCCATAGTAGGACGAAACAGCTGTCCAGTGCTCCCAGGTTGCCACTGTTCTTCCAACTGATGTCAGTCTACGAGGAATAACAACTTGAAATATTTCTAAATCCCACAACTCCCTCAAAATTCAAATGTGTTTTTACAGAACACTGATAGTCACTAAATTGGACAAAATTAAGGAGACGCATGCACTTTGATGATTGATACCGGAATACCTACTATAAAATACTATCAGGAGTTTAACGAATAGTATTCTAAGCATTGAAGGCCAAATGAAAAGTTGACCTTGAAAATAAGCGATACTAGTATAAATTTCAAAGTATGTGCAATAAAATAATTAGGATGTTTCGCTCAGAAGTCTATGCTATACTTCTTTAAATAGAAGTTAAAATACTAAGGATCGATCAGTCAGGTTAAAAATGTGTACTTAGTCTTTTTGTTTGTATGCTCCTCATCTAGTATGAAATTGTTAAACCAGCAAGTCATTATTCGATATGTCAAAACAAGAAAACGGGTTCATACTAAGTTTACACGTTGAAAAACATTGATTACATCTTGTCTTAACAGAATTCAGACGAATTATCGACGTTTTATCAATGGTAAACGGTAACTGTTATCTATAAAGATGAAAAAGGCAACAAATTAAAAAGGTTTCAGCGGAATTCAAGTCTTGAATGCAAAAAAAGTTGGAAATTTATTTAACAATCTCGATATTAAAAGTTGTAGTGAATCCTTATCTATTCTTCAGGAAAGTTTGACTTTTAATTTTAAAAAGCCAGATCTATCAACTTTTGAAATTGCACTAGGTTTAAGAAAGTCTTTTAAATGAGGTAACCAATGCAGCCAGAAATGAAAGCCTAAGAACAAACATAAATACAGATGAACTATCTGCTGTGAAGTGTCAAAATCCACTCAGCTACTTTGAGAATATGAGTGCAGTAGACAATGAGCCTAGTGTGTGAGGGCTGGTGATACTATCTAGCTGCCCAAACCATGATAGGTGGAACGGTATTCGAACCCATAAGCCAATGGTTGAAAGTCAACTTCCTGAAACAATGAGCCACAACTCCACTCACCCTGAACTAGTTATGGTAATATAAGATTATTATTAACACCAAAGCAGACAAAGGAAACATTATAACGGTAGTGAACTCAACTATGATGAAACTGCAATGAAACTTATTCATACTGTTACATATACTCAGGTAAATGTTAAAAAATATGCCAGCCATGCTAGACAAACTGAAAGCAGAAACTAGCTGAACGATGGATTCTATAAAAGGGAGACCAATCGGTTAGCTGTGGGTCTTTATTAACGCCAAAAAGATGCAACTTCTGTCGACTCTGTAGGATATCAAAAATCCATAACATACATATCCCTGACCTACATGTTCTGTACTTTACGAACCTAACAAAAAATAATATGGCAAAATGCAGATCATAAACCTTACAACCATATGGGAAGGAACGAAGACACATGGTGAAGAACTCATCTGGATTCAGGAATAAAGTCATTTCAACTCATAATGAACTAGACGAAATAATGACAGGTTACGATGTTTGTTCTTTACTTACTAATGTGCCTACATTAAAGATTCATTATACATTACTTGTGACTGACTGACAAAATCAACACAGAACCTCGCACACAGGTTGCCTCGGTTCAAGCTGCCACACTTCAAAGTAGTATACAAAGAATAGATAGATGGAAAAGAGTGACATCAAAGTAGATAAAGTAGTATGAGGGAATAAACAATCTGAAGTCAATGGTTAGTGCAAATATTCAACCTTCACAATATGTCAAGGAGTGAATACATCTGGGCCACTGTCACCGATTTCCAGCCATATCATCAACAATCCACAACCACTGACTCCTTTCATCTTGAGGACTCCAACCAGGTAGTGTAAATCGCCCCACACGGTTCAGACCTACAGTTAGGGACTTCATCGACTGGTGCCACATCTTGGTCGGACTACCCTGAACTCTCTTCCAACCAAATCCAACTTTCCCTACCATGGCACATTGAAGTAGATGGTGGGTCGGCATACGCAGTACATATCCAAGGTATTTCAGTCGACTAAGGTTCACAACCTCATCAATCGACTTGGTTAGTACCCTTCAGCTGACTTCAACGTTCCTCACAACATGATCCCATCAAACAGGGGCAATATTGCGAAGACATCTGTGGTCGAAATCCTGTAACCTCTTCATGTCCTCTACTTTTAACGGTCATGTCTCATAGCTGTATAAGAGGACAAAACGAACTGCAGTGCAGTGTAGTCGTCCTTTAACAGGTGGTGCAATATTTTGTCGGCGTCACAGGTGACGCAAGTTGGCAAATACCAGAGGCTAACCTAAGATCGATTACGTTACCCATAAGGTGCAAGAGGAATTTTAAATTCTCCAGAATTATGTTTAACACTAATAGTATTTACATTCAGAGGGGATAGATGTAGATAGACAGATGGTATAGCAATTGGATATCCAGTATCCCCAGTAGTTGCTAATCGGTTTATTCATTCACAAGGTCTAATTGTCTACGGCATTGTTTTTAAGCATGAACAATAATTGTTTACCGTACTCTGATCTGTCTACACCTAAGTAACCTAATTCACACCTTTGTGTTGCTTGCTACGACGTAAATTCTATCCATCCAGATCAACCTAGGACCAGGCATTACTGCGCAACACTCCGAGTAGCCACACCTCATATCACTACATCAAGTAAAAAGGTAGTGCGGCGCAAGATGAAGGTAAGAGAATGCAGTCAAAAGAAATATAAAGTACCAAAGAGAGAAAGGAAGAATGAGAAAGTGGTGAGATTCGGTATAGCGTCGTTAAGATGAGGATAATGTATGTATACATCTGCGCCAATGACATTGGTTTTGAGCCATATCCCCTAGAGTCTCTAACCACTAGTTCCCCTTGTCCCACGGACCCCAACCACCTAGTATGCATCGCCCTACATGGCTTAAACCAACAGTCAAGCACTTCATGCATTGGTGCCATGTTTTAGTCTGGCCACCTCGGGCCTTTTTCTAGCCTGGACCTACTTCAGCCAACATTGTGTGACGAGGCAATCGGCGACTAGGCATACGTAAAATCGTATCCCAACCATTTCAGTCGATGAAGGTTCACAACCTCGTCAACCGACTTACCTCTTCTCCCTAAAACTCTACTCCTGACTTCTGCGTTATTCACATTTACGATGTAAATTAATAAACTAGGAGGTACAAATCATAATTGATAGTAGTCAAGATGGGATAAAGTATTACATATGTATTAGCCTTATATGAATTAGTAGGTCAGTTTTCATCTTAACTCTAGTGGAAATCAGATTTACCCACAATTTCCAAACAATTCAGTAGGCCGTAATAACTGTTATACACAGGTCATAGCCATAGTTTGTACAGCCATTTCAGTAAGCAGTCTATATGAATTTGTCATAGATCTTTAATTTATCAAGTAGTTTTTTGTTCATATTTTTATGTTATGCGCTAGTTAATACCTGCTGTAAACAATAAATTATTGAAAAGCAGTGAAAAGATGAGGAAATTCAATAATGAAATTAGCACAGTGTCTTCCGATAAGATGGATTATGTAATAGGTCAGAAAAAAAAGAGTTCCCAAAACTGTGAACTCATTGACTTAGACAATCGACTTTCAGTCAACATATTTTAAGAATGAACCCCGCATCGAATACCGAAGTTTGGGTAACCGCTCATACAAAAGTGACTTCGGTTCATGGTTTACGGCATGAAAATATACACTGTTGATGTGCGTTCTGTATTAGGCGTTTAATGGTATCCACATGATTGGTACCTTTCATTAGAGTTTTGATATATTTGTGAGGACGTTTGACACTTTTCCGCTAACCACACCGTTGAAGGTTACTTCTTCTTGGTGCGTCACCCTAGGGCCAAAAGAATATCTGCATGAAGTCAGTCACACGCAGCCTGTTTGGAAGCTTAAGATTTTAACTTTCGTTTCATTTTGAATCCGGTTATGAACCCATACCACGGGCACCGGCAAACCTCAGAGTACGGGAAGGGGGAGTGTGCTATCTTTGAAGCCGGCTTTCTTAAGTCCATTTTAGTCTGATTAATAATAACAAGTTTTACCTCTATATAAACGACTTTTCCAAACTTCTCTCTTCCCATACGAAAGGCAGTATCAGCATAGTACTGCTGGTCATCCACAGGAAACACTTTGTTACTGTCACATCTCTAGCCAGGAAAAAACTTTGCCCTCCGACCGCCATCACAGCGTAGTATAAGACGCTATAAAGGTAACCAACATACCTTCCACCAGCATAGTTTATTGGGTCAAGGTGATATGCATTCCAGACTACCACGTCAGGGTAGCACCTATCACTTAGAGGTAGCAGGTAAACATTAAAATGATAAAACAGGATCACTAAGTTAACAATGCCAAGGTTAATTACTGAGTCATAAACAAAGATGATATGTCTACGATGTGATAGAAGTGAGACGTTTCACACATGTTGTCAAACAACTAAATACCCAGACCGGAACAAAGTTAATGATTATGAGAACAAGACACTGCATCAATCCAAGAAGTAAATTATTATTGGTTTAAGTTATTCGGGCTTCCTCACTGGGTTCTTCTACATATGTTACTACTCATATGATAGAGTTCCATATCTATCGAAACGGTGTATAAGCACTCGTTATGGCGATAAATTGAGGACACATTACTACTCCTTGTCTATCTACCCCTTTTATTTATCTTAATGTATATATCTAGTGTAATTCCCTTTCCGGGCAATCGAGACATTTGGTATCTCGAACCAATATATTTACGCATAATATTTGAAGTTGTTGAATTCCTACTTCGACATCAGCAACCGAGTAGTATATATCCATATGTCTGAACTAGGTTGAATCGCATTTTTATACATACTTTTTTGACATAATAAAGAATGCATCAAGGACTAACAGTGTTATCATCTACACCCTCTTGCCTGAAAAATATTAAAAGTCAACTTATACATGCACAAGATGATTATTGAAAGGGAACTTACCCATATAATCGCCTTATCCTCTCCACCAAGTTTAAAACGACGAATGAATCCGCCTAATTTCGGGAAAAAAAAATAAAATGATTCAACTAACTTAGCATATTAACTCAATGGAAGTAAATCTCATTTGACTACCTGAGATATAGCCTTAGTTTGGTAGACTAGTACTGGATAATGATTGAAGGTGAGTTGAAAATCTGGATTCGAACCAGCGATATGTGTATGATTTCCAATCGTGACAATAAATAATTTACAGGTACAGTTACTTTTCAGTTGTCAATATTCGATAACTACATCCTAGAACTAACCATATCATTTAAACCGCAGACAATTTGACTAGATTTCAAGATATTTCAATCCTTCTTCCACCCAATGCTAAAATCTCTAAAGAAAATCCTTCAGAAATAGTTCTGTAAGTCAGGGGATTCAACATTCCTACCCATTTCTCATATGAATAGTTAAATGTAAGCAAAACTTTGTATGATAGTATTCGAAATAAATTTTCTTTAGTCTAATTCCGTTCAACCTGTATAAATGTGTACTTCTAGTTTATGAGGGGATAGCTTATGATTATGATTGACCAAAGGAAAAATAAAATTAGTTCCATGATTCACCTGTGAAAAATCCTAATCCAATGTGGCTATTATTACCTGTTCAATAGATGTCCTATAGAAAGTAATTTTTAATCATATTCATCTTTGGTGTTCCTGTAACACTTATTTTTATTTTGGCTTGAAACCTTGTTAGAAAGTTTGAGATTTGAATAAAGCATTGCTTATTAATTCATAGATTTTTAAACTACCATTTTTGCGCCACTTTTACAGAATGATCAAGAGTTCATATCCTCCAGTTTTCAAGGTAACTCGCTGATTGGTCAATGTTTACTTTTACTATATTAATGTTTCAAATTCTGAACAAGGTCATATATATATATATATATATATATATATATATATATATATATATATATATATATATGGGTTAATTCACTATTCTTCCTGGAGATAATAAACTCCCTCATGCAGTCCAATCTTCTTCGGTATTTCATCTGGAGGTTGAAGTCGGTGGATCTTGCCTACAAAATTAGCTGTCAGTCAAGTGCATGTATTATGTCTTCTTGAAAACATAACAAACCTACAGTTAGTTATCCATCCACTAATATAAAAAGACAAAGGTAACGTAGAACCTTAAATGGACGTGCATCGGTTCAAGTTGTCACATTCGACAGTCATATACAAAGACAAAGTGGATAGAAAAAGTGATAATTAGGTAGATTAGAGTGTATTCAAGGAGGGAGTATCTTTTTAAAATGTTCAAACTTTCGAAAGTGTTAAAAAAAAGTGACCGATTTTTAATCATGTCACTAAGACTATCCAACAATTGATTCCTATTTCCTCATAGATTTCACGGAAACAGTCTACAACTTTGTATATGACTCAAACTAACAGTCAAATACTTCATGGGGTGATGCCACTAACATAAGTACAGATGCATGTAGAGCTTAGCTTTTTCGATATTTCTATGCATTTTACTTCCATACAACCTTTAACAGCTTGCCTTTTGTTCCTTATCAGAATTCCTTGTCTTTCTTTCTATTCATTAATTTATATTTATTAAACTGATGTGATTTATAATTACTTGGAGTGATACACCATTATGCCAAGCTGTAACGTTGTTCATTTCATTATTAAAAGGGTACATAAAATATACTGATTATTTACAAGGTTCCACTTGTTACGTGGTATAAAATAACGAAACGAAATACACTCGGCAATCTTGTGCACATTCATGCAGTAGGCAATGAGGCACACTTATTATGTAAGCGTCAGAAATACTGCCTAGCTGCCTAAACCCCAGTAGGTAGGTGGAGAGGGGTTCGAGCCCGCGACCCACTGGTTGATAGTGATCTTTCTAAACCAACTGAGTTATAAAAGAGAATAAATTAATATTGGACTGGTAAGAATTCACTTACTAATAAGTTTCTAGATGTCAGAAACTATTCAAACATACTATATTATAACCGTGTTACTATGGTGTCCGACAAATTTTCAGCTTACTATTCATACTACACACTGTATGATAATGAATTTCCAAGGCTCCTTCACCAGATATGGTTGTTAGACTAAATTCAATCCTCTATAGTATAACCTGCCTATTAAGTTACATAGGAGGTATACAAAGAAGTGAGACTTGTCACATATCTGCGTTCTACAACGAAACAATACAGATTTCCAGGTTAATGAGGATTTCATGTGTTTACAGTAGCATTCATCATGGACTGAAATCAGTTGGAGAAGCATTGAAAACCTCGTCCCAGTATGGGATTCCACAACAGTATACACCCATTGACCTCAAAATCTATTACTGTGTAGTGTTCATTCATGATATGCTTCCAGATGGATATACCGAAGTTTTAATGAGAAGCCTTGAACTGTTGGGTCAATCAGTCGTAAGGGGAACGGATGTCAACTGATAGTCGCGTTATATAGCAAATTGAAAGAAGTAGAAAACCATCAACCACTGAATTCCTACCCAGTAGCTGAATTTTTAACGCATTCGTCATGAAACCTAAAGGTTCTAAGTTTGTTCCCAATCCAAGTCGTGGGTGCGTGCTGCTGAAGAGTCCCATACTCTCAGATCTTCAATGGTTCTCCAACTGATATCAATCCATGATGATAACTACCTTTAAGAAAAAAAATTTTTTTCTACGACTATAAAAGCAGATGGTGCCAATTTTCGAACAATTATGTAATAGACACCAAATCTGTATAGTGAAAAATGTATATGTCAGAAATACTACATCACACAAAAAGGAATAGTATGATTGTTTACAATAATGTTTTATACAGCTCTCACCTTGAACAATCATCATCAGTATACCAATAAAACCAAACATTTTACCTTGATCTACACTGATAACAATAAATAATTAAAAAAATTGATTGATAATCAATAAAACAAAATTATTACATTGAATTCACTAGTAAAAATGTAATTTTATGGTGTTATAGTTTTAAGCTTGGCAATAGGTATGATAACTTTCATTCCAGTCTATTTATTAGATATGTCACACAGTGAAAAAATGACAGACAAAGGAATGATTATACAGGAATTACATTTCGAGGAAACTTCAGCATATGGATCGGATCAAATTGTCAAACATCACAGTAGTACACAAATAACAGATAGATAGAAGAAAAAAAGTTAGTGTAAATATTCAACCTTCAGAATATATCAAGGAGTGAATACATCTGCGCCACTGTCACTGATTTTCAGCTATGTCACCAACAGTCCTCAACTATTGATTTTTTTTTCATCTCAATGACCTCAAGAAAGCAGTCTACATCGCTCCACACGACTCAGACCCACAGTCGGACTTCCGTGAATTATTTTTTCAAACTGAATCCAACTTCCCTTAGCATGGCACATCGAGATAGGAGGTGGATCAGCATGCTGCTCAGTCCAGGGCAGCTCAGTCGACTAAGATTCACAACTTCGTCAATTGACCAGTTTATCTTACTTAGTACGCTTCAAGTGACCTCAACATGAGTTATATGGTGATTCCACTAAACACGAGTAATGCTACAAAGACACCTATGATCAAAACCTTATAATCGCTTCTACTTTTAACGGCTGGTCACAGGTTATTATCAGTTTAGTAAGCGTATATAAAGAGAAAAACTGAAATTGTAACATATGTTTGTTACAAGTTTCTAACTAGTCTATAACTCAGCATAGTGATAAGCATTTCAACATTGTATTGTTTTCACCATAATATACTAATGCTATAATTGCACAACTATGCACTGCGTCTTAATTTCATCATTTTGCATATTAGGTAGTGACTAAGTTATGTCAGACTACCCATTGATCTGAAGTGATGTAACTGTACACAAGTGATCAATCACCGAATGCTGTATCTAGTATAATAAAGGGCATTAATCTATTCTATAATAAGAATTCATCTCTATCAGTTAGTTTATATTTATCATTCTATATAGTTGCACACATAAGAATATGATTACACATACTTTTTCAGGTATTGAACTTGAATGTTCACTGATATATGCTGGAACAAACCGATAACTCGATATACATACATGAATTGAGGTGAATATCTTATGAAAGTGAAGCATTATTTACAGTGAATTCTTATTTGAAGGTAGATTTCATACTGACTAACTATTTTTGCTATGAGCAATACTAGAAAACAAACAAACAAACAAAAAATCAATAGAAATTGTAGGTTGGTTAGTAACACCATTAGTGTTATTCCTTGTAATATACTGTCGTTGATTGAACTGAAATGATCGGTCTATTGGCATATGGGCTCTTGTGTGCAGGCCTCGATATACACGTTCCCGGTGGGAACAACATCACTTACTGAGAGGCAGGTACATCCAGCTGATCAGTCCCAGACAGGACGAAATGCGCATCCTGGATTCCACTGCTAGCCACTAGAAATGGCTATAGTAGCTCGGTGGTGTAGTGGATAACGCTCTGACGTTTGAAGCCATCGCTCCCGAGTCTGAATCCTGGTGGTGACAACACCACTCAGTGAGAGGCAGGTGCATCCAGCTGATGAGTCCCAAAGAGGACGAAATGGGTATCCTGGATTCCACTGTTAGCCACTATCCATCTTTATAATAACACCATTGTTTACTGTTTTCACTACCAATAAAATTTATATTCACGTAGTGGTTCACTATAATAATCATGTAAGGCAATTTTACGACTTCGTTTACTCTATACAACAGTAATCATAACCTTTCTTAACTTACCTTGTAAAATCAAATCGAATTCTAGCCAAAAATATTATTGTATACTCTATACCACAGAATATACACAAATAAGCGAACCAAAAACATGCTAAATGATGCAGAGATTTGTCATCTACAAAAAAAATCTTGAATAATGCACCCCACTAACTATAAACAAATGTGTACAATGTTACGAGTTATGTATAACGTGAAAGGGTTAATGATATTAGCGAAAACAGTCATCAGGACAGAAGTATACAACATATTGTTCAAATCCATAAATTAACGGTTACGTGTCGAATGCCGACAAACTTCAGACATTCATCAACAACTGCCACCTACACTGGCTCGTTACTGAAGATCAGATGGCCAGAATAGTAAGGATAAGCAACAAGGAACTCACTCTGTCTGGCCGGGTAACGAACCAACCAACAACCTATCGCTCAACAAATATGTAGAAGGAAATGGAGATGGATTGGGCATGCACTGAGAAGACCATTCGGGGACATCACACGCCAGTCCAGGTTGTCGAGTGGAACCCAGATAGGAAGCGATGAGTTGGGCGTCCGAGACGAGGGTGACATGGAGGAGACCGTGTGAAGAAGAAATGAGAAGTTGTGGGCAGGCGTGGAGCCAGGTTCAAAAGATTACAGAGAATAGAGTGGAATGGAGACGTGCCACTGAGGCCCTGTGTTGAATACCGAACAACAAGTCTGATTCATAACTTAGTACATATAACTATATGCCAGGTCAGGTCGTATCGTTTTCAGATAGTAAACCAACCAGGCAACAATTTTAAACAGGTCATAGTGGAGTAACTCATAACAAAATAATACCCTTAGGAGATGTAGTCTTTTGGAGGCATCGAATAGCGGTTAAAAAGTGGTTTCTCACCTCTCAAATTACAACTACATTGATGTTACCATCAGACAATAGGTAATGGAGTTGATAAGCACGTTGACTATTTCACTAACCCAAGGAATTGATCAGCGTTAACGGGTGGATAGCCGATGAAATCTCAGCACTGATATAAAAGGGTTAATTAGTTTCCGATGAATTACTCCAACTACTGCGCTGGTCAGATAGCCGAACACGCGTAAGGAGTGAATGCACTGTGCACCTCGACTTGAGATTGAGGATCTGAAAGAGTTTAAGATATTTGAATACAGCTACCTATGTAGGATAACCAACTTATCCGGGAAACAACAATGACTTAGGCATAGAGTTTTAGTTAAGAAGTCACTTGATCATATTGTTCACCCTTATAGACTTAGATCACTCATAAAAGTGCTACACATGGTGAACTCCAATGGAGTAGGGTTAGGTTAGAAGAGCGTAAAAGGTGGATAGACTATAACGGGGTGTCAATCCACGAAGTCTCTTATTGTTGGCCTCCACCATGTCCAAAAAGTAGGGTTCCCAGTTGGGATCCATGTGATAATCGAGACTGATATTTGAAAATAGGTAGTAATATGGATCACTATCGACTTCAGTGGCGCAGATGCATCCTACACGTTATCTGTCTCCTAAGCGTTATTTCTCCTTTCATTATTCGTTCTACCCTCTTTTCTAATATTTTCATTTCTTTGTTTTCCTTCTTGTCCCATCTTACCTTAAAGTACTCATATGATACATCAGCATCGGTAGGAAGCCCTGGACCTAGGTTACGTGCCCTTTGGCACTCGTCAGCAAGGTACATCTGCAACACCGATGGAAATGATGTCTCGTCACCCAGTGTTGTAGTCAGCGACGTTACCACTGAGCTATTCGCGCAACGACTGACCTCCTGTAAAAGTGGATTAGGTTGCTTCCATCCAACTAATATCTATCAAGTGCATCGTGATGCTGGGCTGCCTAGTCTGGTGGTCATATTGCAAAAATGATCGATAGAATTCGGTCAGACAACATGAAGTTGGTTACCCTCCGGTGACCAATCAATGTATCTAATCCAGTCCTACAGGAAGTCAGTTGCGGGCCGAATAGCTCAGTGGTAAAGTTGCTGACTACAACACTGGGTGACGCGGGTTCGGATCTCAGGCGGGACATCAGTTCCATCGGCGTTGTAGAGATACGCCTTGCTGACAACGCTTCCTGCTGATTGCCTCAATCCAACTAACAGCACTCATGTGAATTGTAACGACTTGAAGTGCTACGTGGTAAGTGCTAAGTCTGTCCCATGTTCATAGTGATTGTCTGTCTGACAAAATATGCAATAACACAAGTTTCACTCTCATGTACAGATATTCATACGCTGGTGGTCATTTATTCTATCTGCTGTAACAGAATGTCTTGAAGTAAGAAAACTATACTAATTTAACTATAGCTTCAAAACTAAATGCATGTAGTTGAATAAAAAAACTCATGTAAAAATGATCACTATGAGTGCAGAAATAGATGGAAACAGAATTCTTCACTGCCCTCAGTTAATAGCTCATACAGTAGTAAAAGTATATAAGAATATTTAACAAGCCTTTATAACATGATCATCCTTACAGATGGAATAGTTTTCTGTCGTAACGAACATCCTTCACCTTATATAAAAGAATATAAAGGTAGATTTAAAAAAATGAAGACTTCACTGAAGTCTTTACATGAAAAGGCTTCTGCTTTTTGATTACTGTTGCCTTCATAGCATAGGCCGTATGTCGTGGTGTCACTGTACGTTAGTAATGTAGAAGTCAAGAGTAGAGTTTCAGAGAGGACAGAAAAGTCAGTTGATATGGTTGTGAAATGTCATCGACTAAGATATTTGGGACATGTGTTACGTATGTGTAATGTTAGCTGAAGCGGTTGCAAGCTAGAACAAAGTTAGAAATGGCCCGACTAAAATATGGCATCAATGCATGAAGTCCTTGACTGTTCATTTGAGCTATGTAAGGCGATGCAGACTTCCTACAGTTAGAGTCCACTTGATAACAGAAACCAGCGGTTGCAGAATCTAGGTGACGTTGTTCAGAATCAATGTCATTGGGATGGATATATCCACATATTATCTTCATCTTGATCGTCAGTATTCTATCATTCCTCTTTATTCTCTTTTGATGACTTTCTATTACTTTTCATTATTTCTCTGTTGTTCTTTTTAATCGTTGACCTTAGTGCATTATTTGATAGGCTGATATGAGGTTTGATAAGTTGAACCGTTACGCATTAATTTCTGGTCCTATGTCGATGTTTTCGATCAGAATTATCAAGAAAACAGATTATTCATTACAATTATAACATTAATAAAGAAATATGACTGTGTATAGCCATGAAATAGTTAGTTAACTGGTTATGATCAGTAATGTTATACCAAAGATTTGCAGGTGAAAATATTTGGTTGAAGTGTTTTAGTCAGTTGAACTCTGAACTAAGTTATATAGGTATTTATTCTCAGGTTACTGGGGATTTCATGTGTTTACGGTAGCATTCAGCATGGACTGAAATCAGTTGGAGAAGCACTGAAGACCTGGGAGCACCAGGCAGACGTCTCGTCCCGGTATGGGATTCCACAACAGTATACACCCATTAACCTCAAAATCTATTACTGTGTAGTGTTCATTCATGATATGCTTCCAGATGGATATACCGAAGTTCTAATGAGAAGCCTTGAACTGTTGGGTCAATCAGTCGTAAGGGAAACGGATGTCAACTGATAGTCGCGTTATATCACGAAATGACAGAAGTAGGAAAGTGGACCAAGGAACTCCGACCCAGTAGCTGGATCTTTAAGGCGTTCGCCGTGAAACCTGAAAGTCCTGAGTTCCAGTCCTACTTGAGTCGTGGGTGCTTACTGTTGAAGAGTTCCATACTAGGACGGAACGGACGTCCAGTACTCTCAGATTTTAAATGGTTCTCCAAATATTGCCAGTTCGTGATGAATGCTACCTTAAATCTATTGACTCGTCATACTTGAGTGATATACGTGCTTATGTACGAAAGATGTATCAGAGGAAAAAATAACAAATGGGCAATAAAGGATGATGCAAAAAAAAATACAAGGTAGCCCATCAATTCTCATCAAAGATATAGTTTTATCCGCTGCGATAAGTCGTAAAACAAACAGGTATATTCTTTCTAAATCCTCAGTATTTCCAGTCATAAATGTAACTGATAATTCGATTTAGTAACCTGGAACACCTTAAAACACTTCAGTGTATAGTCATAAGCAATAAAAAGCCACCTGCTTTTAATTCACCTTTAGAATTCTTTGTTGTACCAGAGAATGAGAATAATTTCATTGGATTAATTAGATGAAATGCTTGAATTAGCGACTGGCCAAAATTTCCTTGCTATTTAAAAAAAAATACAATATACATGAAAATTCCAAGGAAATCTAACTGTTTACTTTGATAAAACTTTAAATTCATTGAAGACAATAGATTATGAAAAGTAATTTTTAGTTTGATCCTCTACGATAGCTGTGTTTTGTCAGGTTTTTATTGATACTGAGTGATGATTTAAGGTGGAACAGAAATCTAGCCTGCAGCAGGATTCGAACCAGTAACCTCAGGTTTACCAACCCAATGCTCCACTAACTGAGCTACACAACCCGGCTGCTGAATAGATTTTACTATCACTTCATTAACCAAGGGTTTTACCTACCATAAGAATCCGTGATAAATTACTATTCCTTGATCGTACGCATACCGGTTGCTTAGTCAGGACTTCACATTCCAATCCCAAGTACTTCTACCACTAGTTCCACGGATTAACTGGAAGACTATCTGACTCCTACAGATAAATCAAAGTTGTTTCCAGTCTAATGAAAGCTACTTATACAAAAATATATAAGTAATATGCAGTACAATAGCATGAAACACAAGTGATAACGATGGATTGATAAATACCACCTAGGCAGCACTGTTCCAACTACAGGCAGCGGCACAGACAAGGACGTCAAAGCAGCCAGGATCGGAAAGACAGCAAGACAGGCCTTCCTTGATCAACCTGAAACCAGTGTGGAGATCTTTTGCACTCAGCATGTGGAACAAGATCCAGATTTTCAACACCAACTTCAAGTCAGTGCTTCTGTATGGCTCAGAGACTGGCTCGTTACTGAAGCTCAAATGGCCAGAATAGTAAGGATAAGCAACAAGGAACTCACTCTGGCTGGCCGGGTAACGAACCAACCAACAACCTATCGCTTAACAAATATGCAGGAGAAAGTGGACATGGGTTGGGGATGCACTGAGAAGACCATTCGGGAACATCATGAGCCAGGCACTCGAGTGGAACCTAGATGGGAAACGGTGAGTTGGGTGTCCGAGGCGAGGGTGACATGTAGGAGATCATATGAGCAAGAAACGACAGCTTGTGGACAGTTGTGCAGCCAGGTTCAAAAGATTGCAGAGAATAGAGTGGAATGGAAACGTGCTAGTGAAGCCCTATGTTCCACTAGGAACCCAAGGGACAAATAATAATAATCACATACAAAGCACACTAACCTTTCATATTTTAAATACATAAATGACAATTTCACTCAATATGATCTCCTGCTCAACGCTCAATTTCTGATAACAAAGGAAAACAATACGGTCTTTATACTAATGTAGGTTTCAAGTGAGTTCAGCTAACTAGATTAGTCATGATTTATATCTAAGTGGCTAGTTGACCATTATATGCGTAGAATGTCATTTCTAAAAACAATTATCACTTACTGTATCACAGTGAAATGAATATTGTAAACGGAAAAATTGAGTTCAAACTGGCTATATCCAGAAAGCAAAATAAGTAAGACAACTCTATCTAGCATCAGTTTACAGCTTTAAATAAATTTACATCGCATTTCACACTATGAAGTCTATCATACTCAACTGTATTACTCAATAGGCGAGGAGACACGCTCGCAGAATAGGCAAAAATTACACCAATTCCACTTTTATATATAACCCTATCTATACGGTATGGTACATGATGTTGATTGATGTTAATACACAGGGACTGCACTAACAGATCAACGGTAGATCGATGGGAAAGTAGCACTGGAAGGTTATTACGCTTGTTTCAGTTCAAGCGTATAATTGGTGTACTCGAGCTCATTCAGTACAGACTACTATATAATCAATTAAACTACCTGAAAAAAAAGCTAACCAGTCAACTAGACTGTTAATACTGTTTACATGACTCTTTATCATTTCCATCATGAACTGGAAATTTTGTCTAGATTCTAGAGACCTACAGAAAATTGTATATAACAGGTGAATAGTAATCCATACCTTTGGTAGCGTAGTTGGTAGAAAAGAAAGCAAAAGTAGTAAGTTTATACAATTGATAAATACACATGTACAGCCAAGGATGAAACTCAGGTGTTCTGGTGTAACATTTGTATTCCATTGATTAAGTAAAATAACTGAACATGGAGGTCCAACAGTAAATCCAATACCATAAGCCAATCCAATAACTGCCATTCCTTTGGTACGTAATGTATTACTGCTAATATCACCAACAAATGCTGAAACGACAGCAACATTTGCTCGTGCAGCACCACATAATATGCGAGATATCAGTAACCATAAAAATGATTTACCAAAATATGACCATATAATATTGACAATCAGAAGAGTAAGCTAACAGACAATAGAAAATGGAATTGAATCAAATTACAAGAGAAATATAAACAATGAATAATTACTTATATGGCTTAATGTACTTTCTGACTATGGAATAATTATATCTTACATAGCCGTGAATATGTCAACTTCGTAGTCGGTTAATGTTCACATTATAGTAACTATGGTGTAATTTCTTCTATTAAGTGTTCACTATCATTACGAACAAACAGGGATAAAAACAGTGATGAGGTAGATAGAGAAGTTGAAGAAATGTAGATACAATTAAGTAGTTACATACAAGTAGACTAACTTGACCATGAGTCACATCTACCATATAAGTATGCTATCTCAAATCTCCATAGAAAGCGTACGATTTGAGCTTAATAAGCAGAAAATTCACTAATCAGTGCGACGACTTAAACAAGAAACTGAAGTACATAAAAGAAGCACTGATAGTTAATAATTATCCTCTACAGTTTATTAAGAAATTCGTACGAACACACAAGAAACGAAAAGATAACAGTAACACGAGTACGAATAAGAACGATAACATAAGCAGAAAGGAGTTCAAAACGTTCATTGCGTTACCCTATAAGGAAGGTAAATTAGAAACGTTACATAGAATTATCAACAAAGCTTGAATTAGGGTGACATTTAAACCTACAAACTCACTCAGAAATAAGCTTTGTCGGCTGACCTAAGGATCCGATAGAACCAATTAAGCAAAGTAATCTAAGTTATTATTCTTTGTAGACAGACATCAGTTGAAGGAACACGGGGAACCTGGGAGCACTAGACGGCTGTTCCGTCCTACTATGGGACTCCTCAGCAGTGCGCACCCACGACACCGCCATCCCCGGATCCAACCCACGACCTTCAGGTTCCGTGGCCAGCACGTTATCATTGAGTCACTGGGTCAGAATCCAGTCGTCCATATTTCCAACTTCTGTTAGCTCACGATATAGCACAACCGCCACCCAATGTCATCGTTAAGTGACTGTCCTCACGACCATCAGGCTTTGCCCCCACCGGTCACGACTTCTTATCGGAACTTTAGGAATACCTCTCGAAGCTAGTCACCAATGAGCACCAGTTCAATTGAATTCAAAATAATCTAATCTATCAAATTCCATGTAATTACTGCAAAAGTCAAGTATATAGGTAAAACAAGCCGGTCGGGGTCAGTTAGAATAGCCGAATATAGGAATTTAGCTAAATATAGAATGACAGACCCCAATAAGATAAGTAGTCTAGAAAAACACTTGGCTATTCCAATGCATGCATTAACACGTAACAATAGAGTGGGATAAAACCACTGTACTTAAGTTCAATATAATTAAGTGGAGAGAGAGATTGGTTACAGAATTTTTGTTCATTCAATCAAAACGCAACACATGTGATAGGAATGATACAACACGTATACTAGAGATAAATGAGGTAAAAGGACTATAAAAAGTGGATGTCGAAAGTGGAATGTGATTACACTGATATGATTATGAGCTACCCCTCATTTAATTTATGCTCGAAACACCATCCAGTAAATAATACTGTATAACTCAATGTGTTAAATATGGAATTAAATTCTAGCAAAGTGCCCAAGTTTTATACTTATATAAACTTTCTGTATATCTAAAGCAGATGTTACATGATTGTATCAATTTCTTTACTGTTTTGTAACTATATGTAAACATGATAGTTTTGTAGGATCATCACTGTGTTGTATTCAAATATGAGAACACATACTCATATGTATGTAAATGAAGGAATCAGCCTTTGAATAATGTATGTTACTTGAGTTTCTGTTACATTAAATTTAGCTAAGTTTTAATATTCTAATGTGAATAAATTTTATCGGTTGTAGTGTTAATCAAGTAAATGGGGAAAATTTATTATGACAAGACGATAAATTATAGATTGTTGGCTACAAAGCATTTTCAGTACAAAAAACAATATAACCAAGTATATAACAATTGAAAAAATAAATAATCTCTACACTTTTTAAATGTATAAATAATTTGAACTGGTAACAGATGAAACTTTAAAAACCCTGCCTTGTTCTTTAATCTAATAACTCACAGTTAAAAATAATGCAGAGATAACATCAACCAATTCATCTATTCTTGTCCTTATAAGTAATAACAATTGAAAATTACACGGTATAGAAATTTCAGATTTTCAGAGCACTGTTGAATTGACTTCTAACAATAAAAATGCAAAGATGGATAATGGCTAGCAGTGGAATCCAGGACGCGCATTTCGTCCTGTTTGGGATCCATCAGCTGCATGTACCTGCCTCCCAGTGAGCGATGTTATTCCCACCGGGATTTGGACTCAGGAGCGATCGCTTCAAACGCCAGAGCGTTATCCACTACACCACAGAGCGACGATAGCCACTTCTTGTGCGACGGGTATAATATCCAATCTCTACTATGACTAGAACACAGGTATATCGAGGTATCCACACAGGAGCCCATATACCAATAAAGAACGATTAATTCAATCCAATCAGCGAGGACATAATACAAGCAATAACACTAAAACTATACCCGTCGCACAAGAAATGGCTATAGTGGCTCGGTGGTGTAGTGGATAACGCTCTGACGTTTGAAGCGATCGCTCCCGAGTCTGAATCCTGGTGGGGACAACATCACTCAGTGGGAGGCAGGTGCATCCAGCTAACGAGTCCCAAATAGGACGAAATGGGCATCTTGGATTCCACTATTAGCCACCATCCATGTTTACTATAACTAGAACACAGGTATATCGAAGCATCTGCACAGGAGCCCACATGCCAATAGAGACCGATCAATTCGGTCCCATCCACAACGGTATAATACGAGCAATAACAATAAAAATGCAATTGCTATAAATCTGATTACAAGTGGATAAAATCTTTTGGATGACAGTTGTTGTGTCTGCCAACACATCCTTTAGGATTTCGATACTTTTCACATCTTTCAATTATCCGTCTTCATAAATGAAATCACTAGGATGACACTAACCATACAATTAAAGACATATAACTGAGAAAAAACTACTGCGAGTCATTTTAAGTAGATTTCTTGATTCAATAGCTTATTTCTCAGAATTTCAGTGAAGTTAACTCTTAACGCACTATTTTTATCCAGTTACCCAGTACAACCCTATATCCTTTGGCTGTCGCTTGACGCATAACGTCATGTTGCTACATAACACTAAACAACGTAGGTAATTGTATATCTTTTTCATTGAAGAGAAATGTTTCTCTTCCAATGAAGCGGAATGACTTGAAAACATTATAATCATTTTATTGGTTTGGCGCTGTAGTTATTAGCTGTTCAAAGCAAAACATCCAGCTTAGAGACTGGGATTGTTTACATAATTGATACTTGTACAGTTAGATTGAATAGACTAGTATGCAATAATCAGAATGGAAAACTTGAATATTATGTACAAACTTCACGACAAGTAATAGCCGTGATATTTTAAATATCTAACAACAAAGTAGAATGAGTTTCCGTTTAGAAACCACCTAGATGTGACCTATTTGTCTCAAAAGTAGGAAAAATACAACTCTAAGTGGAGATTAGAGAGAGTGGTGTAGTGTGTATAAATTAAAAGTTACTTCTTCCATATCGTCAATTCTGCCGCCTCGATCTGTGGATTCGTTGATCAGAACTGGATAAACATTCTTATAGATATAATAAAACTCATTAGAAAGTGTGAAACTGTGGCTAGTTGACCTAGACACTAAATCCATGGGTCATGGACCTGAATCACGTTCACTCTAACAAGGTTTGAACAGTCGGGTAATATCTTCTGCCTTCACACAATAGGTGTAGCTCATTGCTTAGTGCAGGACATGGATGTGTTCATGGAATGAGTTTCATTCATCACAAAGTTTCTAACTAAAAGTATAAATTGCTTAAATTCTAAACTGACATTAGGAAAACCATTTTTAAGAAATGAAAAACTGACTAGGTTGCTAGAGTAATGATAAAGTAATAGGTATATATATATATATATATATATATATATATATATATATATATATATATATATATATATTGCTGAAACGGAGATCGACAATTCGATGCAATGTTCGAAGACCCGCATTTATCCAACATTTAGTCATTTTCAGGCATTACTTATCTGCAGAACAACTATTAATGTGTATTTTGCTCATACGGAAATGCTGCTATTGGATGAAAGTACTAAATTTGGACAATACAAGATGTACTTTCCTTTGGTAGTTGAATGAGTCAGCTTTGTGCTATTAGTTTACTTTCGTGATTAGTTATTTAGTTGAATATCGTCAAAGCAGACCGACCTGTTAGATTATTTTAAATCATAGCCATGTTTTCATTATAACAAGCTGTCTGTCTAAAGTTTAAGGGTCAATAGTGGCCGATAACACCACCTATCTACGAGTAATGATTAGTTTCATCTCTGACCTTGGTTTTCATTCGTCAACTTAAGTAACAAAATAATCTCTACAGAATCATTTAGCTGACAAGCAGCATAAAAAATGCCAGAAATAAGTTGGCAACTTTCGTACATAAGATGGCTCTCAGCTGTACAAAATTTGTCCGCTGACTAACGGTCTTCAACAGTAGAACGCATTCCAACCTTTAGATACACTCACTCGAATCGTGTGGACTGTACACCGGAAATAAGTTGTAATGAAGCAGAGAAAAGGTAAGGAATAACCACATTTAAATCTTCACAACACATAAATACTGAAATTATGTCCTTATAGTATAATTTGTAGACTATATCAACAAACCTGAAGGACTACTAAGATTGACTTCCTGCCAAAAAGGTCCGATAGCGCACCAGCCAAGGGTGATGAAAGGAACTGTGCTAAAGATGACGCTGATGATAAGAGACCTAAGTGATAAAAACATTTCAACTCTATTGACTAACGTACCTCCGAGGAAAACTGTATCCCAAGCAGAATCTTCTTGAAATCCCAGCGATAAACCAAGTTTATGAATCCATTGTTTACACAAAATATAAAACCATTCCTTATATAGTTTTAAGAAAAATTAATCATCTTACTTGTTCAAGTTCATATGTCTCTAAGAGAGAAGGCAACCATGGGAGAATTAAACTCACAGTTACAACATCGAAGAATAGATAGAGGAAAATAATAAAAAAGTTTGTGAAAATATTCATTTTCAAAATAAATGGACACCTGAAGTTGTTAGATGCATCAAATAATCTATTGAAAAAGAAAAGAAAAATAGGGGGACAAATAAATCATAGTTAAGCATCCATAAGTATACAATAGGTAGTTTTAGGAGAGATGCAAAATGGATATTACACAAATTGTTACCACGCATAGACAATACGATATTATCACGAACTTATAAGTGAGTGTAGGTAGAAGTTAGTAGTTCATTCTGTATAATACAGAAAATTAGTTTCTTTTTTTAATCATGACTCAGTGGTATAATAGTTTTCACGTCTATTATAGATATACATAAATTCAAAAGTCATCAAAGAGGAATAAGAGGATGGTGTTAAAATATACAGGAATACAACGCGGAAACAAACAGAAAAGATAAAATAACTCTGTTAGACACCATATCAGTTTAGAATATCCAATCTGAGAATGTCTAACAGAAAAAACTGATGAACAAAATACGCAAGGCAGCAAAATCGGAGCTGAATAAGTGGTCTTAGATCCATTTGTCAGAACAAACAACAAAATCACTGATTATTTACATATTTATTTGTTGATTAGTTGTCCAGTGCTCATGAATGACGTGCTTCGAGATGATTCTCGAAGTTCTAATGAGATGTCATGACCGGTGGGGCAAACCGAGACGTATGTAAAGACAGTTACTCAACAACGACATTAGACTGAGGCCGCGCTATATCGCAAACTGGGAGAAGTAGGAAATCGGACCGTTAGATTCCAACCCATTGGCTCAAGAGAAATGTGATGGTCGTGAAACCTGGATATCCTGGGTATGAGCTGCTGAGGAGTCCCATACGAAGACGAAGCAGCTGTGCAGTGCTCCTAGGTTTCCATTGGCTGTTCAGCTGACGTCATTCCGTGGTGAATACTGACTTGAGATTAATAAAATAAGTCACCAAAAACCTTTAAATTGAATTCAATCAATTAATCAATATCAACATAGTACCAGGCATTATTGCGTAACACTCCGAGTTGCCACACCCCATATCAGTACATCAAGTAGAAAGGCAGTGCGGTGCAAGATGAAGGTAAGAGAATGCAGTCGAAAGAAATATAAAGTACGAGAAGAAAGGAAAGAGGAGTGGCAAAATGGTGAGATTCGGTATAGCGTCATTAAGATGAGGATAATGTGTGTATACATCTGCGTCACTGACATCGGTTCTGAGCCATATCCCCTAGAGTCTCCAACCACTGGTTCCTCTTGTCCCATGGACCCCAACCACCTAGTCTGCATCGCCCTACACGGCTCAAACCAACAGTCAGAGACTTGAATTATTTGTTTTGAGTGATGGCTTATTGTGATAGCAATTCCACTTTAACATTGGTTTTGTCAGTTTGAGAACCTCTGAAAACCTAGAAGCACCAGACAGATATCTCATCTTGGTTCGTGACTCTTCAGCTGTGTGCACTTAAGACAGTGAAAGATCGAACTCAGAAAATCATTTCTCAAGAAAATGGATTTCCTCTAAGCCACTGGATTGGAACTCAGTAAACCCCGTCTCCTACTTCTGTTAATTCGTGATATAACACGATCATCACTCAATATCATCCGTGGATTTCCACCTCGCTCTCCACTTGCTGGATTCCATAGATCACAACTTTACCTTAGAAACCTCAAGATATTGAACTAGTAGTCTGTGGTGAAAACTATTTTCAAAAAACAAGAACTGATCTCCATTTCAGTTTGTTTTTCAGATGAATTACACAGTGAAAGAGTATCATTTATCGAACAAAGTCATAGTCTTCGGAACTACGTTGGATGACAAGAAAGACTGATCAATTGATCTTCGCGTGTAGAATCAAAGTCAAACGCCATAGGAAAGGTCTAGCACATGTTCATAACATCAGGCAAATCGTACTAATACAGCTATGCTGACTCACCCTTTGACAGACTTGCTGTTTCTTTTGCCATCCACCGGTGATGAAATGAATCACTACACCATCACACTACATTACCCTCCTTCTTTTAAAAGCACGTGGTATTTCAACCATTATGATGTTGTAGCTTTCACTGTGTTGAACATATTAAAATCTATCCTGGTTAACTTCAACTGAGAGTCAGTTTACTTTTCTTTTTTGTCTTTTAGGTTTCTTGTAGTGTATTAGTTTTCAGTGTAATTGTTCTGCCTGCTTTATATAAAACTGTGATGTGTAGTGAACGGCCCCACCATGTGTGCACCAGATTAACACCGATAGATTACAAAAGATGCCTCAAATGCATCTTTTCTTAGCTATGCAACTTTTGTTATCAGCCATTGAAAATATTGATTCAAGAGGCTGTAGACAAAAAGCTGTCTCAAAACTTGTCTTGAAATGTTGCCAATAAGAACACTATGGCGAGCTTAGAGTCGGGTGGTAAAACAGGTAGAGTCATTGATAGCAAAGTAGCTCAACGATACAATATCACTAAAGATGTAGTGCTAGGTGCTAGTTTCTATACTTAAGTCCCAAAGGACAGAGGCGAACCTAAAAATGTGTAAAATCCGACAAATCCACTGAAAACCTTCCGACTGATAGCTACTACCTTGACGTGATGGTCGAGTTTGCATACTACGATGGCCCAACAACCTGCACTAGCTGGAATGTTTGTTCCCTCTAGGTTTTGCCATGCCAGAAAGGAGTGTTTAATAGTGGTAAGACGAAAAGCAGTTACCGCTGTAATGTAAATTGCTGCACTGTGGTGGGAATCTGAGGGGCAGTCGTACTGCTTCCTGGTTGGGGTGGATGACCAGTAGTGCCACGCTGATGCTGCTTTCCTTACGGGAAAGGAGCTTTAGAAAAAGCTGGCCCAAAAATAGCACACTCCTCCCGGCCCCATGGTCTTCTGGTAACAGCGGTATGGCTTTCTTTTTTCTGGCGTTAGAACAATCGAATCTCACACCAACAATCCTGAAAAGTCTGTGACATTTCTTAGGTAGATGTCCTATGGGTCCTACGGTCACAAATCTTTTTCTCTTTTTATTATCTAAAGAAGAAATAGCCTTCCACCGTGTAGGCAGTTAGGAAGTCTCAACCGCCCACATGCCTCCAGTAGATTACAAGACCCAATCAAATTAAAAACACGAAGTACGCCTGTTAGTTGAACGGAGACAATCTGTAAGAAGCCATGGACCTAGGCTTCGTGCTTTTTGGCACTTGCTGGCAAGGCCTGTCTGCAACTCCAAGGGAACTGACGTCCTGCTTGAGATTTGGACTCACGTTACTCAGGGCTGAAGTAAGAAACGTTATCACTGAGCTATTTGGAACGCGACTGACCTCCTGTAGGCTTGTATTAGATACACTGATTGGTCAGTGGAGCGTAACTAACTTCATATTATCTCGTCCTGTGCTCATCGAGTTCTACCGATTATTTCACAATGTGGTCAAGAAGCTAGGAGACTCACAATCGTAATGCACTGCGATCGATGTCAGTTGAATGAGAGCAGTTGGTAAGAAACTCTGGACCCAGGCTTCATGGCTTTTGGTACTCATCAGCAACGTGTATCTCTAATCTCGACGGAACTGATGACCTGGTTGGCCACTTGAGAACAGCATAAGGGGGAACGGGGTGTAGGAGTAAACCTTGGACACTGTGGTAGACTGTAATTTCATTTTAGTCTGCTTATTAGAAATGTCACATAGTAAAACAGTATCATTTACTGGATAACGTTCCGGACGCAACTCACTGTCCATATTCACATCAGGTAACTGCACAAAATTGAGATAGAGTTTGTATCATCTTAATTTTCGCTTTTTGACAAGGGTAGTAGAATTTTCTATACATATGTGGCAGGTGCAAAGTCATTTCTATTACATGTATTCGGTATTGATTCGATAAACAAAGATTCGGTTCGCCAAATCTCTTGCAATGACTGCGAGGTCAAATACATACATCAGAGTAGTCGACTAGGGTCTGCTTAAACAACAGAGCACAAAAGCTTAGCTAAATCGAGATTAGTAGATCCCAATAAGATAAGAAATTTACAAAAATGTTCGGCTATAGCTCTGCACGCAACTACACAATAGGGTGCGATAGATCGACAATATTGAAAACTAACTTAGTTAGGTCGAGGGAGAGGTTGATAACCGAATCTTCGTTAATCGAATCAACACCAGATATATGTAACAGAGATGATTCTGCACCTATCACAGATGTATAGAAAATTCTACTACTCTTGTCACAAAAGAGAAAATTCGGATGATATAAACTGTCTCAATGTTCTACATTTACCTGATGGGAATGTGGACAGTAATTTATGTCCGAAAAGTTATCCAGTAAATGAGACTATTTTACAATGTGACATTTCTGAAAAACAGACTAAAATTGAACATCACTGTGTGCAAGCATTTATTACAAATATATTTGTAAATTGATTTTCGCCACAATGCAGAAATTCTTCATGGATCAAACTAGTGACAGGACTACCGCACGTTCCCTATGAAAAGCACTTGAAAAGTCAGCATCTTTTCTTATTATCATGTCCTTAGTAAAGAGATCCTATATTAGTATATCGTATAATGAGTGGACTAGGTTTTGATCTCTGTAATCTGTCTACTCATTTTATGACTGCTTGTTTAAGAGGTCGCTATAAGAAGTTCAAAATTCACGGTCGGAAAAGCCTCGAGCAGAACTTATTACGGGAACTTGTTGTAGCTCCACCTTCAGTAAACGCTTTCTAGAAAGAACTAGATCTTCACAGAGACTTGTACTGTCAAGATTAATACAGGTTAAACGACTCAGTATTCTTGAAAAAGAAAAGTGAACTAAATTACCAGTTGCCTGGTAGTGTGGTTATTGAGTGGAAAGTGTGATAACAGTTCAGGTATACCTGAACATATAGTACCAGCTCTTGTAGTGATTGTATTCATTTGCAAAATGAACATTCTTCGGGATTATAACTGCAAGGATTAACACAGGTTGATAGCTAACCATCGTCACTGAACAGTGAAGATAATGAATTAATACTACTATTTATACATTATTACTCACTGCTCAGCACTGTGAAAAACAGGAAATTCATTTGACTTACTAGGCGATCACAAGTAGAAATTATAGACACAGTTGAAGACAACCAAATGTGCAAGTCGAAATTTGAAGCCGTGTGAACACGGAAATCCAGTCATCGATTTAGCAGTATCGCCAAAATGCGGAGGTGGCGCCGCACTTGTAGGTCATCACAGTGTAACTTTATTGGGTCGTCACAGCACGAAATTGAAGAACTTGGTTTTTGGCGGTTAGTTCACATACGGACGTATACATAATTGTCACAGCTTAGTATTGTATGTAATTTTACTATCTGATCTCAACATCCGACAGTTTTCCGTCAACAGATAGCAGTTAAATTCCTTTAAAAATTAAACCTCGTGTTGTTGAATTAGTGAACAATGGTTCCTTGAGCCATCAGTCTGTCTTGTTGGAGTACTTTATAGGTTTGGAATAGTCATAGTTATCTTCCTGGCTCCAAATAACCTGAAAGGATGGAGATAATCGTTTATTAATCAGTCCGGTCTCTAGAGGGATTAATACTCCTCATAATCTGTAGATGACGGAAAGCTCAAGTGCAACCCATTAACACCACAAGATTCTAAATGTGCGTCTAACCTCCTTTTTTGAAAATATGGGGGATGGGGCTGTAATAGGTGCTGGAGGAAGGGAGCTCCATAGTTTGCAAACTCTAACTCCAAATGAGTCATCATGGATCTTTTTACGCACTTTCTCATGCTCTGTTCTTAACTAGTGACCCCTATGTTGGCGTTCCTCATCAGGGCTTGAGAGAGATCTGTTAGAATGAAGGGGATTGTGGGCAGTGTGGCAAATCATGATCATACCCCCTCTGAAGCTTCAGTCTTGTACTGGATGCAGCTTAGGAGCAACCAAGCTATCTAAGTGGGTTTTGCACCGAGACCCAACTACTTTCTTCGGAGCTCTTCTCTGAACCTGTTCTAAGATGACTGTGTCGCTCTCCAAGCATGAGAATATAACGAGCGAATATTCTTAAAAGTAAGGAGGACGATAGAGTCCATACATAACAGCGAAAAGAGCAGGAGCCGGATTCCCTGAAGTCTGCGAAAGAAACCCCGGCGGTCCATAGTCCCCGTTGGCTGCAGGGCTACAATGGGTCGAAGTTCCATGTGTATCATTTGAAGTAATTCTCGGATCTTGTTCAATGTTCGTGTCACATAAACTGATTTCACCCAGAGAGCAGGAACTGGGACCAGTTTTATATTTGTCAACTATCATTACCTCACATTTCTTCGAGCTAGATTCGGATTTGTTGTTTGAGGATAGGAGGTTGGGAGCCTATAATAATCCTTTTCCAGTAGATTTCTATGCTTGTCCAGTCCCATTTCGAACGAGTCAGTTGATGATGAGAACGCGGCAACGTTGAAACTATACGCTATTTTTACACGTGATCCTTGATCATATCTTTTGTCGATTTCTTGTTGTGCTTAGCTTAGTAATATAGCGATATATTCTGTCTGGATAATTTGAGGCTACATTGTTATATATAGACAGCGTATTCCCATCCTTTTAGACTGCATACATTACCGTCAGCTGCACATCTCACTTAAAGCCTACTATAAGAATGGGACGGTCGAAAGCAAAGCGTTCAAAGATAGATAGCTTTGGCGATAAGAATAATGGAGTCGGTTCCACTAATATTTCAGGTCGTGACCGAAACTCTACCGCCTCATATAATCCAGAGCCTGATGGCCTTACATGCCTTACACCGCTCGTCAGGGCTGAAGACATTATGTCGGTCACAAATAATAGCATCAAGGAAAATAGAGAAGAAATTGAAAGTATTAAGTCCACGATAGATGGAATCAAGAAAGTAGTTGGGGACTTCCAACCCTTAGCATATCTTTTTGGGAAGCACAACACCCTAGTCCCAAACCATATTGAAGAAGCTGAAGTAATGAAGAGGCTGGCATCTTCTCAACAGGCAATAGTATATAATGTTTCAGATATAATATCTTTAGATATCGTCAAGGGAAGGTTATTAAACTCCTGTGGCATGACGCCTATGCGCTGTGACTGTGAGCGCCTCCGCAAGAAAGTAGCACAGCTAAGTTGTCCCATTATTTCCAAGTTCACCACCTCATATGATGCTAAGAGGTTCATTAACTATCAGGATCGTATAAGACCAAACAGTAATTTTAAAACTATCACAATTGCATAGAACAAAACTCCTTGTCAGCGTGAAAAACAAAGGAGAAAAGGTTCTACCACTGCTGCGTATGCAAACTACTAAGGTACCGGATGCCCTCAGAAACATTCGAATAGTGCTTCTATGACTAGTAATCCTATTGTGCCAATCACTCTGGTGGTAAAGTAATCCCAAGTGGACTTGGACCTTAATAACCCGGATTGTTTGATTCCTCATGAAACCCCAACTATCGGCACAGGCCCCCCTAAAGTAGCTACAGATAAAAACCTTCCAGCGGATAGTAACGTCACTAAACACAGACCTGCAGGTGAAACCATGTACTTTAGACCTACAAAGCTCCCGAGGAAAGCCATTTTTAAACGCATTTTGTCTAACGATAGTGAAGATAGCTTCGCAGCTGACATAGTTGCCATAGACAAAACCGCTGTTGCATGTATGGGAAGTAAGGCATCTTGGGAAGAAAACCCACCGAAAGGGCATGTTAGATACTTGACCTCAACCGTTAGAAAGAGACACTTCAGTAACTTGAAGGCATCTGACATTAGACAGTACCCTAGATCACGTTTACCCAGCCATCAGGGCTCCAACATGATGGCATGTGACATACCAAATACATCCATGTCATACAGGTTACATATACCCTACCCAAACCTACATCGGCACCCGAATGACCCTAGCCAGTACTTTGGGAATGTATATAGTTACTCCCCTAATAACATTCCTGCTTTTGAGCCTTATCAAAATTTTTTTGGGACCCCGAACAATATGTACAACCCATGGTTCATAGGATCGTTTCATCCTCCAGAAGCACGAGCCTGGAGCTACCATCCTCGGTTTGCACAGATCATGAACTGCACTGTAAGTCGCCAGTAAGAACGAACAGTACATCAACTACATACACGCACCCACAAAAAACAAGTGATCATAAATCATTGTAGAATAAAACTTCACTGGTCATATCGCCATGCACCACCACTGAGTCTCATGTCCATAACGCAAGTAGCACATCGTCTAATGAATTAAGTATAGGAAATTTCTCTGACCACCCAGACGTACAAGATATTGTAAAACACTTCACAAGTCATTTTAGCCTTTTCACACTTCTGCTCATCAATGCACGGTCGTTACCGAAGAAAATTTCCGACTTCAGAACAATAGTCTTGCTAACTAAGCCTACGGTGATATCAGTCACCGATTCATGGTGCCCCAACTCAGTCCCTGATGTAGACTTGTGCAAAGATGGTTATACCCTTTATCGCACTAGCCGGGATCATAAGCGTGGAGGAGGTCGTTTGATTTATAAATGTGGCCTTGTCACAGCTAATAAAATCTAAGATGGTACATTGAATGCTCTGCCTGACTCAGTATGGGTTATTATAAACGGTACTAACTATAAAATCCTCGTAGGCTGTGTTTATAGAACATCACGTTCATAAAGGGAAGCTGATGAGCTCATTGCTCAGTCATTTTCCCATGCTGCATCCATCAGTGCTGACTTCAAACTGATTGCAGGAGACTTTGACCTGCCTGAAGTTAACCGGGAAACCAGTTGTGGCCCACAACGCCATGATGAAACACTTACTGTCTTAGACCTCCATGGATGGAAACAATATGTCCGTTCACCCACACGTGGGAGCAGTACGCTGGATCTAGTCTTTCGCCCTGACATCGTCCCAGTCACCACATACGTTGGTGGTGAATCCTCTAACAGTGATTACAGAATGGTTTTCTGTTGCCCGCCAATCTCCCCTCTTCGTGAGGAAAATAAGGAACTTATGAGAAATATCTTGTATCGCAGCCACAAAAGTATAAACTGGGAGGTATTCGTCGAGCTCCTCAGGTGCAGCCCACGGGATGAGTACTTCATGACAGCCTCATTGACAGAGTGACTTTCGTTTTTCTATAGAAATATAACGCTATGTGTAGGTATCGTCGCTCCTATGAGAGCAGCTAAGGTGAACAAGAATGAGGGCCAATACATCCCTCGAACATTTCGGAACAAATTACGAAAATTATCTAAGCCGTATCATTCCTCTAAAGACTTTCTGGTACTGCACTCAATCTACGATACTTATCAAGCAATTAAGACTTTATGTGCACCAGACTCAATAAGTGAAGAGCTGAATGCCCTCAAAAGTGGTTTTGGGACACATAGTCTGACCTCCCTTTTGAATAAACGTTTGCAGGCATCGAGAGACATAGCTTGTTTATTACACAACGGAATGGTCTGTAACGGTCCCCTCGAAATTTGTGAGCTATTTAGCGAATCCTTCGCAAACTTCAGTCCTAGTACACAACCCCACCACTTTTTCGCCGCTCACTACAGGTTCATGCGCCAACGTGAATTTTACTGTCAGAAGTATTAAAGAGGCTATCATGAACTTGCCACTATTAACAGGTATGGGAATCGACAACCTTAACTCAATGGTTATCAGGAACAGCGGTGACGATACGTCTCTGTTCTTGCTTAAGATATTCACCCTATCAATGGAAAGTGGCGTATGCCCCACCGAATGGGGAGCTAGCTGCATAACACCTCTCTATAAGTCCGGAGACAGTCGAAAGCAAACAATTGCACACCCATCAACACAACACCAGTTCTCTCTAGAATTATGGAAAAAGTAATTAAAAGCAGCGTCTCTGATTGCTATTAACGGAAAATCTAATCACAAAGTCTCAGCATGGTTTCATAAAGAATAGGCCTGCGTGACTTGCCACTTTGATTCCTTTAACTTCATCACTAGTAACCGTGAGGCACGTAAACTCGTCATTGTTCTGTACTTTGATATATCAGAGGCATTTGATGAGGTGTCTCATAATATACTCTTTAATAAGCTACAACCAGTTGCTGTTTGCGACCCCTTACTTAGTTGGATAAAATCATTTCTTAGTGGTCGTGCCCAAATCGTGAAAGTAAACTCCGTGCAGTCTGAACCTAGACATATAACTAGCGGAGTTATACAGGGTTGTGTCCTTTAGCCTTTGTTGTTCATAATCTATATCAACAGTGTGTGTAACTGCTTCAGTGAAGGCAAAACATTCCCAC